ACCACAACTTCTTATATTCCTCTCGTCTGTTTGAAGACACAATTGTCTGCTCCTACAAGCACTTGTATATACTGTAGGCTCTATGTGGTGAGGGTGGATACTTATATTGTATGGTCTCAATGATGGAGTGTGGAAGATTGTCTTGATTTGATGGCTTAAGATATCCAATGAAAGAGAGAGATGGGCATATAGCTAGAGAGGATAGGAAAATGGAACTTCCAATGTGGATGAGATGAGATGAGATGAAGCATTGGGTGCATCAAACAGCTGGCATTGGGCTTGTGGTTGTATGCGTGCAATTCCATTTGAGACCAAAGGCGGTTGCGTAGATGCAGCACCTGGGCACGAGAGATTGGGATCCTGACTTTGAGCAAACTGTTTTGCCATACAAGCCATTGAGCAAATGCTCTAGACAGCAGCGCAATATGGATGGTGCTTCGATTGGGTTTGATTGTCCTCCAAGAACACATGGGCACCATGTGAGAGGGAAACTTGCTGGGCAATCAATGATGGGGATGGGGTCCATGGAATGCCTGGTGCAAATGGGTTTGTGCATGATTAGGTGGCCCAATGGAAGATCAGAACCATTTGGGTACAACATTGGTTGCTCCTTATGATTCATGCTATTGGTAGGGCAATGTTTTTGCACAATCTATTGGTTTACTTTTGGGTGGGTGTTGGTGAGGTCCAATGAGGTTTTGAGCTTGGGTGGCATCGCGAGAATGTCCTTGGCAATGTTGGGTGAATATTGGGAGCATGCTGAGCATGCCAGGTTTGATATAACCTGACTTCATGTATGTCTGTGTGGGCAAGAAGGTTAGGGTGAAGAGAAGGTAGCCTTGGGAATGAGTAGTGGCCACACAGCCAATTCAGACCCTCAGTGTGTCTAAGGCTGGATCATTCCATGGGCTTCATAAGATTCTTTGGAAGATTTCGTCATAGATGGGGGGATATGGAGCATAGATCTGAAGAGCCATTGGGTGAGAGCAGTGGAGATGAGCAGGATTGGTCCAATCGAATTTGTGGGATAGGATGTGAGCTCCCAAGTGACCCTGAGAATGAGGATGAGACTTATTATGGATATGGACGTCAAGAAGGCCATGCAAAACCCAATTCCAATCAGTCATCCAGGTCCAATACTACTAAGCAAGTTTCTCAACTTTTGTTGGGCGTGGTGGGCACATTGTATTTCAAGATAATGATCTTCTCTCCATTTCATAAAGAATGTGGAGGGAGAAGGCCATTTCATAAAGAATGTGGAGGGAGAAACCCAAAAAGTGCTACCTTTAAAACAATGAGAATGTTTATGGGCAAGGAAGGGTAGAGTTGGATCCAGAGGTTTTTTAAACAAGAGAAGTTGGTTTTGTTTAGGAAACAGGAGCACAAGAACATATCTAGACTATACCCATGGAAACTCTGACTAAACATGACAAAATCTAAGAAAAACACCACAAAAGCACATAAAAACCACACCCGCATAACGTCGAGCTCTCTATAAATAATATAGTACATTCTTCGAAAAGGATAACGGCTGCGGTCGGGGATCGTTGCGGCAGCTGCATCCAAAGAAGGTTCGGGAGAAGGTACCGAGGCAGGTCCATGAGGAGGTTCGGGAGCAGGTTCCAAAGCAGACAAGGCTCCAGAGGAGAGTGTAGACAGCGAAGAGATTTTCCGAGTGACGTTTCGTGCTGTTGGGGATTTTCCTTGGGCTTATGCCATTGATCCGCCCAAAATATAACCATACTTGGCAGCTACACCTCTCTTCCCAGAGACATAGAGACAAAAAACCATAGAGACATAGAGACACAGAGTCAGAAAAACCAGAGATATAAAACACAGAGAAATTGTTATCTATAGGGGGTCCTTTTCTGATAGCAAGTTGTCGCTGCCGACCAACTACCATATTTGTCCCAATATATCCAATCAGATTTCTTTGATAGGATGACTAGGAGGATAGCAGGAATTATATATATGTCCCAATATTGGCGTTACCAACCTTGATCCAAAAAAATTGCATAGATCTATGATTATAATCAATCCCTAAATAGCAAATTCTTCACCCCACCAAATTGCTATCTACACGGGCTCCTTTTCTGATAATGATTTATCGTTGCCAACCAACTACCATATTTGCCCCAATATATCTAACCAATTCCATTTGGAAGCAATCATCAAATACTTTTGCAACCAAAATCCATCATAAAAATTTGAAAAATCTTTCGGACAAGTATTATTGCAAGCAAAATACGTCAAAAGAATTACGACAGAATATTTCGGATAAATATTGTTGCGACCAAATTCCGTCATAAAGCCTCCAGCCATTGTATAGAGTAGGGTATGTTTTACCTTCTTTATTGGTCCAATCTATATAGCTTCTTTGATTGAAATCCAACAACGAATGTAAATTGCCCGGTCGTGCATGCTTGGCCAGGACATGTCGATATCCTTGCTTTTGAGAGCTTGATTCAAGCGATGGGGTGCAGGATGCCCAAGGTTTTGGGGTGCATGCTTTAGAATCGTATCCAATTAGCCTCATATCTTTGCGTGCACGCTAACGTGTCTCACCGTTCCCAGCAGCCCGTCCGAGGCAAGAAAAATATTCCCCGGAATCCTTCGTGATACTAATGATGCACTACTCGGCGTCCATTGCATCATTAGATTCCATTTTCATTGCTTTTTTTGATCGTCGCCTTAGAGCGCTCTTCCTAGGCAAACTCCGGATTCACCCCTCTCAAATGATATTTTTCGCAACCTACCCCCCCGCCATACCCCCTTAATTCATTTCATTCGATCTAAAAGCTCAAACCTAGCCTATCGATAATTTTCGTAATATTCTTCAAATAATAGATTTTGCATTTATATATATTTTTTACATATCCTTTCATTTTCAATATAAATATATCTATATTTATGTTCTTATATATAATCAATTTCAATTATATTCATATTCATCCTCATATCCATATATAATTATATTTCTATTCAAATCCGTTCTTCATTGCCATTCATATATTCATTCTCCCATTTTCATTTATATTCATTTTCAAATTTCATTCTCATTCATATTCTCCCTCTCCCTTTCACTCCCTCCCGCTCCCCACTCACTCCCTCTCTCCCTCACTCCCTTGCTCCCTCACTCCCTTGCTCCCTCACTCCCTTGCTCCCTCACTCCCACACTTCCACACTCCCTGACCCCTCACTCCCACACTCCCACACTCTCACACTCCCACACTCACTCTCACTCACTCTCCTCTCTAGACCCCAACGTATTTAAAACTCTAGATTTTCTGCTACTACACCTCTAAACCTCACTCCCACTATTTGCAAGTCTCTACCGGAATAATAGAATCGTACAAATTCTATATATAATTCTTAGAAAAAAATATTAATCAAATCGAAAATATTATTCTTTAAAATATATTATCATCAAAAATCTATTAATTTCATTATAAATTATTTCAAAAATATATATATAATATTTCCAATTATATCAATAAATTTATATTTGTAATTTAATTATGCAATTATATTTATAAATATAAATTATATAATGTATATTTCGTATATAAAAATTTTTAATATATTTTAAAAATTAGATATTCATAATATCAATAATTTTATTATGGTTTTCAATAAAAATAAAAATTCAATAAAATTCAATATAAAAAATAAATAAAATTAATTCAATATTATATATATATTAAATGTCATCAATAAAAATAATTTTGTTATATATTAAAATCACAATTGTTCAATATAATCCTTCCCAATATAATCGAAATGTATATATTAATTTTATCCCAATATAGTTTAATAATAAAATATAAATTAATTATATAAATATATTTATATAATCCCAATAATATATTTCTTATTTTATATATATATATTAATTTTAATCTTTTATAAATATGATTAATATTAAATTCTTTAAATATATGTATATATATATCGTTTATTCAATATATTGTATTATTATATTATTTGAGCGGGGAAACACGAAAGATAGATCTTTTCTAATCAGGGACTATCTCCGGTGTTTCAAAAACGTGCCCCTTGGTCAATCATGGATGAAGCCAATAAAGCCAGAGAGCACAAGAAGGCATAAGAAGGCTCAAGAGGAACACCATTACGGTCAGATTACGCCATACGGCTCTGCAGAGAGGTTGCGTTGCGTCGACGCTCGTTTGTGTTTTAGTGGATAAAAACAGGTGCGCGTAAAAATCGCAATGCATAAGTGTTCCCATATGTATCAGCTGTGAGCTGTGATCCCACAGCTGCACGCACTGTATCAGGATTACAAGCCTACACGCGCTGCGTCGAAGCCGCAGTGATTCAGTGACCAACTCCCTTACAAGGATAGTGCTGGAGGGGTGCGGCCGGTATCGCCAGGGATGGACGTTACGCTATGGTGGGTGTGCTCCACGATGCGGTAACATTTCGCCACGCTAGGGTATAAAGCTGAGTCGAATGGTGTTCCGCGACGCGAAGGTTTCTCCACAGGGCTTGGCAGAGAGGTTGTGTTGCATCGATGCTCGTTAGTATCGAGCAATATGGTCTGTGAACGCAATCTGGGTGCGCACGCACGGCATCGAAGCTGCATTGCGCGACCTCATTAGGGTTCGTGTTGATTACGCAACCTCATGACCAGCGTCGTATTGCTGTGACTGTTAAGCGCATAATTTCACCTTATGTCCAGAATTTAATAGCGCTGGCGACGAGGGGAGGGGACGAGGAGGGGAGTGGAGGGGGGGAGGGTCGAATCAATTGATTTATCAATCATTCATCACATGGGGGGGGGA